ATACAGAGTTCTATCAGTTTTCAGATGGCTGAATTCACTCTCAGAGAGTACTGCCAATCTCTCATGGCAGTGAAAAGCACTCCTGCTGTGCTTATTAAGCAAAATTGTAAATACTAACTGTAGTTCCTCACTCTGCCAAATAAGAGAACATCTCATCTCAAGACACTGTCAAAAAAGAAAAATCTTGATATACGTGACAAATGCTACAGTGGAAATTTTTTCATATTTGGAAACACTGAATAAATTTAGCAGTGAAAAACAGACTATTCTAAATGAATTAATGTACTTTTTTTTTTTAAAAGGACTATGCATTCCACATGTTCTCACCTTTGCGCTGCTTGTCTCAAGTAGATCTGACCCAGAAGGATGCACTATGTACACACAAGAAGTAGAACTGCATCCATTTATATTTTATGCTTTTTAATATCAATGTTTGCCTGTACACACAGCACAAAAATATTTAGAGACACTTGAATCAATTTTAAAATAAAAAAATTAAAACAAACTATACATAAGACTTTTGTATTTAAGTGGCTCACAAACCTGTTGCAATTAAGACACTGTTCCAAAGCTCCTAAATAATTTAAGAAGCTAAAGGATAAACAGAACGATGGATAATTATTTCCAAGCTCTCAACAAAAGCAGTGCCTATTACGTGTTCATACTTGAACAGTCAAGTATCAAGATAAAGTATAAGTTATCTTCCAGAGGTAAAAGACTTTCCCAGAAACCCAGATGGCATAAATAGCAACTTTCATTGACAACAGCACAATTCACTACCAAGTATACTTCCTTTTAATTTCACTGAAGTGGTCCAGCAGCAGGAAAAATGGTGTGAAATGATCTGATGAGATACTGTGTAACTGAATTCTCCTCAAGCCCCAAACTAAAGGATGTTCACAACCCGAAAAAAGGTTAGCCAAAAGCTGCTTTGTTTTAGGGAAATGGGAAACAGCTCCACAAAGCATTTCGCATGGGGAGGAGGAATGAGGCAGAAGGCCCATGTTTTCATTGCAATTCAGCTCTCTTTCCAAAACTGTTCAAGTATTGACTCCCCACATTCCAGTCCTCAGACAGATTTGGTTTTATTACAGATATTCTCAGAGCCTTTTTTTTTTAAAATGTAATTTTATGCAAGAGCATTCATGAATACTGCAGAGCTTGGAGAGCAACACACTTTGCCTTCATCCCTACTTTTCTTGGCTGTTGACCCATATGCAGTCTAAAGATCACTTTTCCACCCTGACAGCAATATCCAATAATTTTTAAGTATTTCTTGCAAGTGTTATTTCCACATTATCAATATAGGACACTGAGAAGAGTCCTTCAAATTAAGAACCAGTGCAAGAGCAGTACAGCAGATTCCTGTGTCAAGTCTGAAATAATAATTTAGGAAAAAAGAGAAGTATTCTGTGTGAGATACTGTTTCCCCCCCCCATATCCCATCTAGTCCAGTCTCAGACAAACCAATTGTTCTAAAATTCAGATGCATAATCCCAACAGGACGGTAATATAATCACACTATTTAGAGCCAAAGCCATAAAAAGGGTATTTCTAATTTCAATTAACATCTAATCAAAGTGTGGACTGGTTTGTATGGCTTCTAAATGACTCGATACTTTAAAGTTGTCCTTTTTTTTTTTTTAAATCATTTTCTATTTCTAGATTTTGGTTAAAAGGGGGCACAACAGCAAGTATAAAGAAAAATATGGTCAGTATAGACTAAACGCAATCTTCAAATACTGTATTTTGGATTGTAAAGCTGGAGACTACTGCAGAAGCAGATTAGACAGACAAACACAAGTGCACAGTTAATTCACAACAGCTGCAGAACAAGGGGTAGACAAGACACCTCTATTGCTTCTACAGTCCCTGAAACCTGGTGAACCATGGAGGTCTGATAAAGTACTGGAAATGTGCCATGGCCCAAATTGCAACACAAGCCTAGAAAAATTGCTGACGGGCTCAGATCTACGCTTTGACTAACATTTCAAGAGCAACCTAGTGATGAACCTTCTCTGGACGCGCTTACTGCCAGCGAGGTAGGGAAGAAAAACACACCAGGCAGAGTAAAGGAAAATGCAATTCAAAGAAATTAAACATTTTATAGTCACTTAATCACCCCTTTTATATTCAAGTCTTCCAAACCTAACCAAAAAATACACATTAAACAGCACTCAATCAGCTTCTACAACTGACTTTCTAAATGTCTTGTTTAATCTACATTACAATTATTTACTAGCAGTGTGTAATTGCTGGTAACTAATCAAATCCCCTCAGCTACTAAGCTGGTATTAGTCAAGGGGCTGCACAGAAAATTAAGCAGCTTTCGTGCCGTTCTAAAAGACAGCCATGATCGAGAAAACAACTTGCTCATTTTCTTTGCTAATGGCCTCAGCCTTCCAGAAGCAATTTGTGTTCTCAATGAAGTCTGTCAGAGCCAGAGCTGTGACAGTCTGCAACAGAAACTCGCCAATACTTTGTGCATCTTCACTTTGCATACTGAAACTAGGAACAGACATTGTTTATGTTGAGAATCAGTCAAATGTGACCTTGCAAACTGTTGCGAGCGCTGAAAAAGCAATCATTAATTTTTTAAGAACAGCATATTGATCATATTTGCAAAGCAATTATCCGTTGAATGTCTTATTTTTAATCTCGTGATTATTATTTGAAGGGTTCTTGCATTGTCATCCATTATGAATGCCCAGAAGAGCTTAATATTTGATCTGTTATTAATTCTGTAATGTGATCACCCAGAACAAGGAATATGAAAAAGCTGGCAACTCACTAAATTATGTAATTTGAGGCTAATCCAATGCCCTATGAAAGAACAATGAAAAAATGAAGCACATAAAGCTGGAGTATAAAAACCTACATTAAGGAGTTTTAACCGGGGTAGCAGAAACCAATATATGTGTCTGCTAAAGCCTATCAACCCAAATTACAAACTGCATGTCAATCCACTCCTTGCTCTCTGCTTTCACTGCTGCTTGGTATTAACAGAGCTTCTTCTGGCACACACCTGTATCCCTACCTCATTCCCAAAATATTTTGTCACTGGAAAGCCTTTACATAACAGTAACTATTTGTTTATTAATCGTGGCTCAAGTCAAAACAGACAAACACCTTCTGTTAATATTTTTGTGCTCTCCACCTCATTTCTCTTTGAAGGCAAAGAGGAGAGAAATAGTCCTCCCACTTACTGGGACATTAATTTCTAACAGCCATATGCAAATAAATTACTGTGTTTAAACAATTTTTTTTTTTTTACTTAAAACTTCAGAAAGATTGCAGGTCTCTTGCCTCTATCATACTGCAGTACAGAGCTTTTAGCCAAAATAGTTCAAACTAGAAGAGAAATAGAACAAGAGACTCAAGAGGAGCAATCGGGCACTACAGAAAGACACATGACGATGATGATTTGAGAATAAGCACATTATTCCTCACAATGAACCAGGACTTCCAATAAAGCACATGGGGACACCAGCTTCTCTAGAAAATGGTTCAGAGAAGACTCCAGGGTCCCAATCACTAGAAACTGCTACAAACAAGACATTCTCTATACTAGCTGAAGCACTAACTCCCCATGTTCAGGCAGAAGTCAGCTTCAGTAAGGACATCTCACATCTCAACCTAAACTGGCATGCAGTATTTTTATCACAATCTTAATTGGAAATGTGGTACATTCTGTAGTCTGTATCTGGAAGTGAAACAACCTTATCCCAAGAACAAGCACCCCATTAGGTTTGTGTTGCCTTTCAACTTAAAAAGCAGAAAAATAAAAGCATTCTAACATACATGAAAATCAATTCATACATAGAGAAAGGATTGGGAGGGCTTTGAAAGCAAACATGGTAATTTAAGACTCCCAAGGCATGGTCCACCATGGCAATCTGGAAGATTATTAAATTAAAATTTACGCTACTCTTCCTAAAAAAATACTGGCAGCTAAGTAGCAGTTCTAATTGCAACTGAATCTCTTTGGGTTTGTCTGTCTTGAAATCCAACCTGCAACTGTCTTTTCTGACCTACGCTTCATCAACATATTAACTACAGAGGATATTCATAGACCAAAAGATCCTCTGGGTCCTGAAGTGGCAAGACTCATTGTTGGCATGCTTTTATTAGTACCACAGCTCTCACTAAGCACAGATGTGATACATGCACATGGAAACATGTCACAGAGAAATAGCAAGGTCAACACCAGAGAACAATCAACGCACGGTCCCACCAAGCAGAAATCATTGGCTTGTAGTGTAAGTTAATAGAGGAGAGCTTGAATGTTCTTACCACTCAGAATAGAGTGGGTACATTCCATCTTCAAGATGACAACCCACTCCAAGGTCAGCTGAACATTCAAACAGACATACTGGGTCAAAATTTAGGATCCAGTACTCTGTCTGAAGTTGGCCAGTGTGAAGCATTTAAAAAACAGAATAGGAGAGGAATAACCCAATAACCTGAACAAACAGAAGACTTCCATGATGACTTAAACTAATTTGACAGATAGTAAATCCATCAGCTTGGGAACCTCAAAACATTGCTGCTAGGATCTACCTCACACAAGCAGTCAAAAAAATTAACAGTTCACATGGTACAGAAGTCCCAGGTACCAAAACTGCACACACCAGGAATGTTTAAAAGCTGCACTGCAAAGGCATATTGCCACATCACACCTGTTAACCACAAAGACTCCTTTCACAGAACTACAGGAATTTAGTTCCAGCTGTAGACATCACATCTTAATTGAATAATCAGAACCTACTTACTGCAGATTTTTCTTATCTAAAACTTTTAAAAGTCTAATAGTGAAAACAACACAAAATAAGGAAAACAACACTTTGGGAACACATAGGTAACCTGGCACAGTATCACGAACCTTGTATCAACAGTATATTTGGAGCAAAAAGAAAGGTTTAGGTATATATAGATCCCTTCCCCAAAACACACCCTGCTCCTCCCACCCATTTTCTGCCCATACAGTAACAGAACCATACCTGGATCTTTTCGCCCTGGTTTTTCAAAGCGTCTGTCTCCCCTAGAAAGGCAGAATAGAAGTTTCAAATAAGGTTTTGGAACTACTCCTCTCATTCTAGGTATGGGGTTTGTTGTGTGGTTTTTTTTACTTGGTAGGGGGCTTTTTTAAAATCAGAGCTTGATGAGCAGTATCTTTAAAGGTCCAAGGGACAGCTGAAATTTTCAGGAACACTGACAAACACGTAGTCTTTGGCACCTAGGTATGTTTTGAAATGTGATCCTAAGTACTGTCAGCAACATTGAGACTAAAATTGAAGCAAATCCTCTAGCAATCCATATTTTCATCCATCATTTCCGCTGCAACTGTCATAATTTATATTATTTTAAATCAGTTCCTTCTTCCCAGGAACTCAGCAGAAAAATTCTTTGCAAAAATACCTTTACTTGCTCCTGAGTTTCTAAAAACATTACTGTGTTGAATCCATCTAAGAAATTCAGATACTCCACTCAAAGATACACCTAATCACCTTTCCTAAAATGTTCATATGAAGTCAAAAGGCACAAATGGAAGCTGAGCAGATGTGTGTAAAAAAAAACTTTAAGGGTCTGAGTTCTGTTACCTTTCCTCCCAACTCTGTGATCTGTGCATTTCCCTGCCCCCTCCTCGCCCAAATCCACCCTCCACTTCATCAAAACTTCTTTGGTAGAAACCGCTTTCTCCTCGGCCTCTGCCTGAAAAGACAAAAAACACAAGTGTTTGTACAAATAATAATAGAAATTGAAAGAATCAGGTAGGTTTCCCTTTCCTGGTGTCCCTGTGAACTAATCTTGCAGTCTTAAGCCCCAGTGAAATTATCTGGGGCAAAGGGAAAAAGCAACAAAGACCGAAGAAAAAGTCTTATGTAAAAATTCTTATCAAGAAGCACAAGATCAGAAAAACAGGCAAACAATGCTGAAATATTATGCAGAAAAACACAGAAAACAGATACTTACCCAACAGAAATTACCAAACAAGGATACATTGTTCACCCAACATCCACGCAGCACGTGTGTACTTTACACTCAAAAACCAGACTGCTTTTAAGAGTGGAAACCAGTATAGTGGTACTGCACTGCAGATGTACTCCTAATTACTGCTGTCAAGGTTAATAAGGGAGAAGGAAGCTTCACCGCTACCCAGTTCCAGTGATTCCCAGCAGAGCAGTGGGGAGAAAAGAAGGATCACAGGACAAGTATAGGCAGGACAGCATGAAGAACACCAATAGCTACAGGATAAAAAAAAAATATCCTCCTTGCTTTTTCAAGAAATGATCCTCCGTAGGTGGCTACCAAGTATCAAGCCTCAAGCCAAAGAGTTACAGATGTATCCTCAAGCAAAGCATCTTGAGGCACATCTTCAGCATGTGGGTAGGCGTGGGGTGTTTGGTTAAAAAAGAAAAAAAGGAAAAAAAAAAACACAACAGAAAAACAACACCCACGCACGTCCCCAGACCTTCAAGATTAATGGCTGGGGTGAAGTTTCCAGATCTACAAAAGATAAACACTGCTTCACAAAGCACTACAGCAGAAGTCATAGGAGGTTTTTCTCAACAAATATAGCATTTTAAGGATCTTGAGGCAAGACAACACACAAGTGAAACACATCAATCAGCTGGCTGTCAGGGTAATTCCTTGCCTACATACACATGCACTCTCTATAGTCAAGAGCCTAAAAAGCACCTGATAAAGGGAATTCTTGGCTGTTAAACCACCAAGAACCTCAATCTTTTCATATTTCTCTCTTCCTGGCTTCAAGAAAACAAGTACCTCAAAGGATGAGGCGCAAACCAGGCCAGAGATCTGGAAGAGTAAGACAGAAGGACCAAATGGAACAAGAAATAAACACCTTGAGAATGGACTCCAAGTCTCTGCGGTCCTCTGAAAACAGAAATGATAACAAGCCTCTACATCTAAAATCTAAAGACACCTGGATGCATCATAATTGTACCATATTCCAGTGTCTTAAGAAAAGAGGTTCTAAAAAAAATTGAAATAATTAAGGCAGTTGAAACAGTTTCTCTACTATTATATACCAAATCTCTTTAAAAATAAAAAAAAGGTGCTTTCCAAGCAGAGAAAAAGAAACCTGATCCCCAAGTAATCTAGTCAGGCTCCTCAAATACACTCTGATTTCCTATCAGTCAGCACAGGCTGCAGGGTGTATGAGGAAGCCACATAAAGTCAATGTCTGTACAACTTCTCCTTTTGCTTCAGAAACGGGATTTAAACATCCTCTTTGGACAAAACTATCCTGTTGCTAGCACCAGCAAAGTGGTTCAAGTGGCCGACCTCCTTTTCAGAGAGATGCAGACTTCCTTACCACAGAGTTTTGGGGATGCTTAAGTTCAGATGGAGACCTGACAAATTCGTAAAAGACAAATAACACTGAATTTACTAAACACAGAGACCACAACTGTCTCAGGGACTGCAACGAGCTGCAAATGTCTGGAAGCTGAGCATATGAGTGATGCTTCTTCACCTTTGTATTGTTATACAGTCTTAATTCTGTTGCAAGGTATCTTCTAGGCTGTGGCTAGAGACATACTGAGTTAAAGGAGCCCTTGCCTGATTCAGCACAGCAGTTCTTACACTCAGGTGCAGGCTCAGGAGCTGACTGACCATGCAAGGCAAGGGAGAGGTGAGTATCAGACCTAGGACTGTACTAGAAACACAAATACCTTCACTATGGGAAGTCCAATACTAGAAAGTTGACCACAGTCATGAGTGCAAAGTAAGTTGCAGAGGAAAGAAACTGTAAAGCTGTCACACAACATCATAACCAGCACAGTGTTTATTCAGTTAAGGCATTGTGAGTCTCCTAAGATCCTGGAAAAGGACTCCAAGCTGTTGATCTTCACAAATAAAGCCCAGGCAAGTTTAAGCATCTCATGCAATGGCAATCTTTGCCTAGTTTCTTCACTACAGGAAAGCTTGCTTCCTTCCTCTCACAGGAGATAACACAAAAGCAGTTCACAGGAGAAAGCCATGGGCAGGCAGAGTCAAAACAGAACGAAGGCACTGACTCATCTCCTGTCTCTGAGGTAGTGGAGGTGGAAAGTTGCATATACTTTCCAAAAGAAACAAAACCGGTTGTCCTTTTCTGTTTTTTACAGTGAGTGACAGCAACATCTGTAGTGCTCTCCTTGCAGCATGAGCAAGCACACCAATTACTGATCGCAGACACACAACTAGCAGAGCCAGAAGGCTGGTGATATGGGAGATTTCATCAGCAAATAAAGCAAATGTCCTGTGTAAAGAACAGAACCAGAATTGTTTTAAGAGCAGCATGGCTTATGGCAGCTTTAAAAGTATGTGAAACAACAGCCTGAGAAACCTCTCTCCACTTACCCTCCTCTACGTCACGGTTCATCAGTATTTCAGCTACCGAAATGGTCTGAATTAAAAGATAACCTTACAAAACATCCAAACAATGAATCTCAGCAATTCAGATTACGGCTGCCTGCAGGGCCACGGTACTCAGCTCCCAGCTGCACTGATACCACATAGTACTGGACAGGACCTAGTAAAGCCACCTTTTCTTTGGTTGTGTTGCCACCCTCGGTCACTGCACTCCCCAAGGCACATGGTCAAGGATCATAGAATTGTCTAGGTTGGAAGGGACCTTTCAGATCATCTAGTCCAATCATCAACCTAACTCTGACAAAAAAAACCCATCACCGAACCATGTCACTAAGCTCTATGTCAACCCGTCTTTTGAATACCTTCATGGATGGTGTCTCAACCACTTCCCTGGGCAGCCCATTCCAAAGCTTAATAACCCTTTCTGTGTCAAAATTTTTCCTAATAGCCAATCTGAACCTCCACTGGCACAACCTGAGGCCGTTTCCTCTTGTCCTGTCACCTGTGACTTGTGAGAAGAGACTGACTCCCCCTGGCTACACCCTCCTTTCAGGGAGTTGTAGAGACCAAGGTCTCCCCTCAGCCTGCTCTTCTCCAGGCTGAACACCCCCAGCTCCCTCAGCTTCTCCTCATAAGACTTATTCTCCAGACCCCTCACCAGCTCCATTGCCTTTCTCTGGACCCACTCCAGCCCCTCAATGTCTTTTTTGTGGGAAGGGGCCCAAAACTGGACACAGCCCTCGAGGTGGGGCATACTGTGGGGATTTGGGGCTGTGAATGGGATGTGCCCAGTCAACAGTTGCCTGCAGAAGTACACACACAACTCCTGGAGAAACCAAGTACAGCACTGCATGAGAAGCATACTGCATTAAAACAGGTCCTTCCAAGCTACAGAACGTAAGTAGATAGTTAAGGGAAACTGTGGTGTACACATTCAGCAAGTATTATGTAGATGAGTTGGACCTGAAAGTGCACACGGGTACACAGCTAATAGGGATAGCAAAACACATGAAAAACTCTTGCAGAGAGGATAAAACTGCACGTATAAGCACATTGTTCACCATTCTGTTTCTGCACTTCTTGGCTTTTTTTGTGGCTAATACATTTAGAGCAACATGCTTATTTTAAATACAATGCCACTTGTGAAAAAGAGGCCTGGCACATGAGAAGGCTTTCTAGGTGAAGATGTTGCACAAAGTATTGAATGCAAAGTCAATGGATGTCAATAAACTCTTTCATTAAAGAACTGAATGGGAACAGCTGTGTCATATGTATTTAAGTAATACCTTAAAAACCTCAGAGTGAGGATCTCAATCCACTGGATACTGTTATCACAGCCACCAAAAGTCTCTAACCAGAAAAACAGACAAGTCTGAATTTAAGCAAAAAATACGAGACATAAGCAAGAGGGCAAGAAGTAGCACACTCTGTCATTCTACTTGTCATTACAAAAAAAAAAAAACCCTCAACACAATACAACATGTACATTCTTGAAATTACAGCATGACTGGAGTGTAGGATCTACAATTGCAGTCACACTACTGTGTGGGAAGTGCCCAGCAGTTATAATTCAAGTACTGCAGTTTAGGTATGAGAACTTTCCACTTTCACACCACTTACACACTTTCCAACAGCAGCAAAGACAGATTTCAAGGGGGAAAGAGAGCGGGAGGGGAAAGAGTTCTAATGGGAAGCAAAGTACCCTTCATAAGAGTCTTAACCAAAAAGGAGAACAGCTACAAAACAAGGTGTCTGTAAGCTTACAGCCCATTCCAGGGACTATTTAAATCTCTCCTCGTCTGAGGCTCTTATTCGTGAATGTTGACATTCCAGTCCCGCCAGCACAAAGCACAGGGCTTAACTGCACACCCCAGGGAGCTCCCAGGAAAACAAGTCAATTAGAAAAAAGGTCACGTGCAAGTACTTGGTTTCTTTAGAGAATATAACTTCAGAACTAAACAAAGTGTTTCGGATTCATGTCTCCACAGCAGGCACATACAGTATTAACCATGGCAGCTGCACACTGCAAATGTTTAACATAAAGTTGTGTTTCAGCACAAAGACACATTTTCAACAAAAATCAAACCCAACTTCCACACTAATAATTTTGACATCAGCTAAATGTAATCGTTGTAAGACTTGTGGTGACTTATGAGAAAATATTCACTGAGTGTTACATCGTAGTTTTAAACACTGATAAGGGAAGTCACATTTAGAGTTCTAACAATAACCTTCCTTTACCAGCAGTTTATCCGTTCTTCCCTTTGTCGGTCTGTCACAGATCCCCTCTCACACTTCCAAATGCTGGAACACAATTCTGTGAGTTGTGCCTCAGTTAGGGAACTTAATTAACAAATCTAATTGTACATGCAAATTCTTTCCCCGAAGTTACTGTTGTGAAAGTCACTTTGAGACAGTAAGCTTGTTTTGGTAAAGCTGAAATCCGCATTTGACCAGCTGCAGCTTTGCTGCATACGATGATGTAAAGTTCATGAAAAACACCAGTTAACTTTTTGAACGAAGGCAATTTTGCAAGGCAATAGAGAAAAACGTTTTCAAACTATTAAGTGAAGCAGCTCATTTGGTGAACAAACTCCAAAGAAATTCCAAGTCCTTTTCACTGTAACTTGAAAAAAATAGAACTGTGTTTAAAGCTTGCTACTTGCAAGTAAAGTGTTACTTTTCTAAGTTAGATGTCAACAGTCCTATGCTGAGCTTCTCACAAATAACTATTTGAAACAAAGTCTTTAATTACAAGAACATCGCGTGTATAATTATGAAAAAATCTACAATTTTGTCCTGGCAGAAGCCCTAATTTGTTTCCTGAGATATAAGAAACTTTGTGAAGAGTCATCATGGCTTAAGTCCAAGACTAACTGTTTATGGGAAGAAACAAGCAGCAACCAGATCAATGAAAGAGGGAAAGCTAAGTAATTTACAATTTCAAACTGTAACAAGAATGAAAAATTAAGCGAGTAAGGTGGGGAAATGTGTCCTTTACAGCTTAGCAGAAGATAACGACAGTGTAGCCTAACAAGCACTGCATATAACAATTCATACAAATTAGGAGAAAAAGATCAAATGAGGATGAAAAAAAAATAGGATGAAAAAGAAACTTTGCAACAATGTTCATGAGCTAGTATTTTTTAACGTCTAAAAATGAAGCATTAAAAAAACAGGAATATATGCATAAATTTTAAGTTCCATCCACTGAAGTGTAATGAATCAAACCTTACTGCCAAACAAAATTTCCTTGCATACAAATAGATTCAATAATAGAATTACTGGATTAGAAGCCATATTTTGCCACGTTTAACCCTATGACTTCATTGAAACTCATGGGGGCAATTAAAAAGCAAGCCACTGCTCACTGCATAAGGATGACATTCATTGTTCATGGTGCAGCAAAAAAAAAATAAAGAAAAGAAATTTGACAGCAGAAAGAAAAAGAAAGTGTTTGGCAAATTAGAAATGGTCAAGGTATTTTTGAGATTGAAACTAGAGAGCACACTAGTGGTCATATGATCTTAAATCACCAAATTTTAAGCAGCATTTGTCTAATTTGCAGAATTAAGTCTTAATAAATCTAGAAAACAAATAGCTAATACACATATTCCTAGCAAAAGTGAAACACGGATGGTAGAAATGCAAATACGCACATTGAAAGCACATCACAAAAAGCCAACAGCTTTCAAACGTACAACAAAAATATAGAAGGGAATATGTAAGTAACAGTCTCACCCCACATCTATATATGTGTGCATACTTTTTTTTTTTAATTAAGCCCTGAACATTTGGGCAAAGACTATGATAAATAAAGAAAGGGAAATCCAGAGACAGCCATGCAGAAGTTTAAATGTATATGCCTTAGCTTAGAAGCAACCACAAGAAGACAGACGACAATCTACAAATGTTTGAAAGACATAAACCAAGAAAAAAAGCAGGATTAAGGAATGAGAATAAAACAATCAGAGAACAAATTAAGTCAAAGCAAAATTCTGGTCAAGCATTTAATTATGTACAGAAGTGATTTCTGAAGATGTTATTGAAAATATCACCAGTTAAGAACATTTAGAATTAAATTAGAAAGGACCCTAAGAGAAACCTCACCTAAACACCTGCAAAGACAGAGATTACATGTTTAATTACTCCTGGTGATATTTCCAAGTTATTCGTTTCTTACTATTTTAAATGTAACCCATTGTATTAATATATAAACACCCCCAAATAGTGTTCACAGCAGCATGCCCATTGAAAGGGAACTGCTAAGATAAATCCTGGATTTAACAGTTTGTTTTGAATCCAGTGATACAGCTTGAGGACATATTCTCAATTAATTTGCAAATGTTTGAAGCGATCCAGGGTGAGACATTGACTATAGTGATGCACTAGAATTGGCAAGACTCAAATTCTCCCAAATCCAATTATGTCTTTCCATTAACCTTCTCCTGTTTATTCTCAGGATGTTAATAAATAAAAATGACTTTTCAGAACACTGAACACCCCTGAACAAAACCTTAATATTTTAAATACATTTGCAGATTCTTCTTCCCTTTTCCTATAAATTTCTTTTATACCTTTAATAAAGTTATTATTAATAATTCTGAACAAAACAGTTTCCTATCCCACCACAAAACTACTTTTCCTTTTGCTTTCCACACCCACCAATCTGACAAAGACACATAACACAGGTACCAGATGCGCACTAAAGCGAGCAGAACGATCGCTAAACGCAATGTTCATTCTGCAACAGTATCTTATTGGAAAGGTGTCAAAGCCTTAAGGGAAAAGAAGCTGGGCATGAGAAAATCTGCTATAACCAAGCCCCATTTAACATCTTTCAGAAGCTTTAACCTGGATCACCTTCACACATTGCAGAGCACCCCACTAACAGCTCACCTCGACCTCTAGAGGAACTTCGACCTCGAGGAGCCCCTACCACCGTTCCTCCTCCGCGTCCCGTCAACCGCAGGACAGCAGCACTGTTTACAGACATCGAGAAATTTCTCTGCCAAGAAGAAAGAGCCATGGTGAGATTTTATTAAAAAAAAAAAAAAAAACAAACAACAAACCAACACCATCATATCCTAAATTTAGCTTAATACCAGGCCTGCTTTCCTTATGTTCATTACAGATTCTCTGCAATTGACTAATACTAACAAGGAAAAGGCTTCCTTGACAACATGAGTAGGTGAACCACTCCATAAAAGGATGTTTGTCAACATTAGTGCTTCCAAGTCACTTACCTAAAATTTCCATGCTCTAAAGGCAGCAGGTGAGCACCTACTCCTTTATCAGATGATTCAAACACAGAAGTGATATAACATTAGCAGCTTTAATCAGTTGCAAAAATAGATTGACACCTGCCTATAACTGACACCATTAATACCAATTCTAAACTTACTTCAAAGCAGGAACATGTAAAAACCAGTATATATAATTTTATTCAAGTTTTGTTAGTCTCCTTTGCAGAAATAAATTGGGTTTTTTTCCTCTAAACTTATTATAGGAGTAACATGCTTTGGGCAAAACTAAGTGTATTTAAGACTTCTAAAATTTAAGTGATACTCATTTAGTAAGACAAAAAGCACCAGTAAAACTTAACTTTAATATGAAATAGCTGCTAAAGAAAAAGCTATTTCAATAAAGAATGGATAATTATAACGAATTCTGGTCACATTCATTTCCAACAAATAGTTAGAAAACCGGGCCAAAGAATTCAGGAGCATGTTCAGAAATGTTAACAAGCAAACCTGAATTCACACACACTTTCTGAAAGCAAGCTTTAAATAATTAGAATGCAAAGGACTCCAGACAGCTGTTACATCAGGTATCTTGATAGGAACTTAAAGGTGGCAAGCTTACACTAACTCATCTGAATTACTAAGACTTTGAAGATCTTCAGAGAACAATGAGACAAGCAATTATATGCTATTTAAAGTCTAAATGCTAACATCAAAGCCAACAGAAATCTGAAGGAGTCTTAACCCAATTCAGAAACAAGCCTAACTGCTTTATATGTTCTTCCTATAAAGTAGAGAATTCTCTCTTCAAGAGAGAACTGGTAAGTAAATAGACTTTGGGGGGAGTGGGAGGAATCCAGCCATGCATGGCAAAATAGCAAGGTCAGCCTCCAGTAAATCTGATTTTATTTTCCTAGTTAGCTCTTAAAGTTTAAGCCAACCATTTCAACAAGTCAAAATGAACCTCCCCCACTTGCCTCTAAGCAGATCACCATCTTTCTTGCTGTGGATACTTCTGCTTTTTTTGTGAAATGGTGAAATATTTTACTACAGAAACAATTTTAAGCTATTGATCAAATTCATCATCTTGCATAGGAGAGTCCTTAATTTTTGATGCCTTATTTTTCCAATAAGAACAAAATAATAATCTCACTGCCTTTTTTCTTTTTTGTTACTTCTCTGCCTAAATTCTAAAGAAATTCTACCTCCCCTCTGTAGAGCTTGCCGTGGTGAAGATGGAATCCTTGTAACGTGCATAGTGATAATAATCCACGTGGTAAGATCACAAAAATATCAAAAAAGTGAAGCCAATTAAGCAAAAACCACCCTATTATTGATTAGTAAATTACTTCAGTGTCTGTCCCTCACAATGCATAGCAAAGAACAAAGCTGCCCCGAAACAAGGTCTCAATTAATTCTTTAGTAGCAAATGGAAGATGTCCCATGAAACAGACATCAGAAATGTAACCAATGAAGACACAAAAACCCCTCCATTATATTCAACAAGAGCTTGAGACTCCCTTACTCTACAAGCAGGTAAGATTAAGACAACTGAATTCTTTCCTAATGCAAATAGGAATAACTGGGGGGAAAAATGGCAAAGGAACATATGCTGCATATTGCCAGTAGTCGGTGATAGAAACCTCTGTTAAAGCTATATCTGAAGAAACCTTCTTTTCTTCAAAAGACAGTTCCCTGAAAACAGATGTTAGACAAATTTATGTCATAACAAATCTTAATACAAGGTGAATCAGTGGAGCTCTACATTAGCTCAGCATCCTTATCACCAGGGAAGTGACATTCTATGTAAAAAGGATAAAAAGAACCAGCATTCTGTCCAAAGTATAACCATGTCCTCTAACAGGGAATTCCGGAGCCAAAAGTATCTGACTATTTAAATTTCACAGGACTAAAATTTAAGCTTAAATCATACACGTCTAGATAACTAATCTTTAAATCATCTTGAGAGAGATCAGACGAGTTCTTCCTGGGCACATACTACACATACTATAACAATTCTATCAAGTGCATAACTCTCAAGTTAGCAAGCAAGAATTGCTCCGAATCCAACGCTAGAGTAAACCTGATGGGTTCAGCTTCAACTGAACACTACTCCAAATTACACGTGTTCTGATCAGCCTGTCCTCTACAGGCTGATCCCAAATCTCCGTCCCTCAAGTCCCAAGAGGATAATACTACCTTCGGTATCCACTGAGGGAGCACAAAAGTGTTCTGAATTATTTTATCAACCTTAGGTGAAAGAGCTGCCTTGAACCACAACTAGCAGCAAAGCCATTAACATTCACCTCAAGATAACTTCTGAGTGTGATTCTTGATGATGAATGATGTTATTATCTCATGGGAAACAAACACCAGGAATTTCTGCCATTCCTTTGCTATCTCAAATCAGTCATGAAGGGGGAAAAAAAAAAAATCTTCAGATGAGAAAAACAGATTGTTCACATCCTCTGGGTGCCCAGAAAGCATTAAAGGAAAGACTTTCTTAGAAAGGGAATATGGACCTCTTCTTTCAGATTAAGATTTTTGTGGAGATTGTAGAGAACTGTTCAACTGACCATGAAGACTCCTGTATGATTAAAAGTGTAAACGAGCTGCAGAAAACAATGACAGAGTGCACATCAACTCCTCGGAAGTTTTCAGGACTGATGAAACACTGGGCACTGCAGCAGAGGGCCACCTACCCCTGACGCTCAGCAGCACTTACCATCTCATCTGTACCAAGAGGCTACTCAGCACATTTTCAATATCATAGCCCTAAACTCTTACTATTCCTCTTGGAGAGTATCTTGACAATCACCAGAAGCCAACATCCCTTTTAGCCATAAAAGGCTTGTAGCTTATTTTCTGAAGGACTCCACTATGCATCAGCAAAAATTTATGTCCAAAGGTATTTAACAGTGAGGTTCAATATTTTGATGTGCTACTGTATGTCTGACTCACCATTTCCTGGGCTTATTGCCTGCATCCCTCCTGTTCCCACTAGAGAATGGCTAAGATTTCCCACAGAAGCATATTCTCAATCTCAGTTGCTTTTAAGACTGTGACATGAAGTGCCTACAGTGTGTTGATGTGAATTTAAATACAACTGCTGATTAAAATCTAAACTATTAGTATCTTATGTCAAAGGATAGCATCCTAAAAAAGACAAAAAATACGAGTCAACTCTGAAGAGGAAGGAATTCCAGAAGAGGTGAAGAGGATATGCCAGAATACACAGGTACAAAAAGATGATGAAAAATTCAAGAATACAATAGCCTGGGGCAAAGGAAGCTCTGAAATCTTAAAAAAACTAATACTGATACTCCCGAGCCCTGCAAAAATCAAATTACACTCAAGTCAGTAAAAACACTCATCTCTCTTTCAGAAAAGAAAAAAAAAGTCAAACCACAATATTCTGAGGTAAGGAAAGTGCTAAGAAACATGACAAACCAGAAAGCGACTGCAAGATCAGAAGTTCTAACAGCCATAAAGAAGGAATCAATTCGGAGTCGAAAGTCAGAGGCATTAATCCAGAGTGGGGGGCAAACAGTTTTCCCTGCTAGGAATTGAATTAAAAGCAAGGGCTGTCAGAGTACTCAGATCAGTCACCCCTGAAATGGAATTTTTGTGGACTACCTGCTCTCACTCTTATCTTTTTCACCGATTAATTACATACCTATAGAGACCAAACAGGAGAGTAATCAAGCAACTGCTTACCATACAAAGTAATTCAGAGTACTGCTGCTTCCTAAGAAATGTTAACTGTCAAAAAAACTTCAACACTTCTCCAAAGACTATAACAAACTGCAGTTACAGAGCTTAGACACTTCTATTAAAACAGCGAAGGTGGTCCAAAAACGGCACAAAAATTTTCACTGATCCGAAAATACTGTGTATTTTAAAAAATAGGTAATGCTTCCCAGAAAATGATCCTGGATTTAACAAGTTGACTGCCTGCCATCAACAGAACATTGTATGAAAAATATTTTTTTCAGATTTAAGATAATTGAGCATGAATGAAATTTAAACTTTATGCTACCACAGCACGCTTTCGTAATTTCTTTCCCTAGAAAATGATCCTGGATTTAACAAGTTGACTGTCTGCCATCAACAGAACACTGTATGAAAAATATTTTTTCAAATTTAAGATAATAATTGAGCATGAACGAAATTTAAACTTTATGATACCACAGCACGCTTTCATAATTTCTTTCCCTGACACCTACTGACCTCAAATTTTATGTTTTCAATGGAGGCATACTTTCATTTTGCCTTTACATAAATTATAATCTAAAGGTGTTATGTTTTGGGTTTTTTTTAAATAAACAACCACAAAAAACCCCCAAATGATACAAACCTGTTCTTCTTCTGTAAAAGGTACAAGTGCCAGTGGTGGCAGGGGCTCCTCTTGTAAAATAGGCAGAAACTCCTTATCCAGAAGGTCTGAAGGTATCTGTGTCAAAGGAAAATAGCATACAAATATACTCAAGTATTTCCATTTCAGGGATGATGCCACATACTTTGATTTACAAAAATATTTTATCCTGCCAACTCTGCCTCCATCTACCCAGTACACCAGTACTTCAATAACATTTATTGGGGGTGGTTGTAACTCCACTGCAAATTACGCCCCCCAGAAAACAAAAATCTTATAGACAAAACATCCAAAGCATGCACCACCCACAACTGTAATAAAAAAAAGTATCAGGATCATACACATCAGAATTCAAACTTCCACACCACTGCAGCTCAAATCTGAACCAAGTGAAATTTCATTTGGTAAATCAAAAAAGTATTGCTTTAACTTCAATGCACTTTTAGAGACAGATTCTTATTTATATATTAACAAAACTACCATATATAGCACAGAGGTTGTATTTGATTTGAAGTCAGCATTTCCAGTTTACCACCAACAAGGGGAGTAAAACAACAAAAAAAAGCAGAACTATAGGTATGGATGTATTAAGTAGAGTAGACTGATGTTTTAAATCAAAATAAATTTTATCACTATTTTTTTTATCAGTCCATCATCAGATAGAAGCTCCATCAGCAGATGTGACCTTGAGCATAGGGACAAGAAGCTGCAATTACAGCCAAGTGAGTTCTAATTATGCCAACAGAGAAGTGTTTCAAAAATATCTAGTTCACAATACTAGAGATAAAGACTTCTCCCAATTTTCACTGAAGCAAAGCAACCTAGGGTTTTATTTTTTCATTTGGGTATTCACTAGCAGAAGCGTTCCTGCTTTCAATCAGAGTATCTTTTAATCAGAGATGCAACTTTGCCTAATCTTCAGCCAGCGAAGATTGAAGATGACACAGTGAAAAAGTACTAGGGTACAAAATAGAGCTGAAAAACATCACTTCTAGTAGTTGACTAGAAACAGTGTCAAGAGTAGGCTCAGCAACTAGAATTACTCAACACCATGGAAACATGTGCATATAAAAAGCAAGGCATAGTCTAATAATAATGCCCTTCTGGCAAACGCACAGGGAGAAAATATTCTTTTGGACCATTCATAACCATTGGAGAGCTTCCTGTAGCACAGGGTATTAATAGGTTGTTCTGAATCAGTCTTAACTGTAGGGTGTTAGCATCATCTGATATAGCACACACAAATTGCAAAAAACAACGACCTCTGACAGGCTGACTTATTCAAGCATAACATCAAGGTTTAAACCGCAGCTTCTCAAAGCAGAACAAGATCATTCTGCATGTTAAAGCATGGCTTTAAGCTATAACACACTTAACAGCTTTTGAAAAAAATCTCTGACATTCAGTGCCCTTGAATGTGCATATAAGCAATACAGGGCTCCCAGCACTGTATGAAAATGTCAGCACAGTCACAGTAGGGTAAGAACATGGAGGTGCATGTGCACAACTATATGGAAAGCTAAAGGCACATCCTGACATCATTTCTTGCAATCCCTCCCTAATTTGAAGGTAAGGCTCTCGGAGGGATTCAGACTTCCAAGTCATTATGGGCCTGTTGCAACAATAACCCAACCTCTGTCAGAATCCGCATGAAAACCTAATGTTTACAAATGCAGAATGTATGAATTATTTGCCTGAAATGCTCCCTGAAATGTGATTTTTTTGTATCACTGAGAACTTTCATTTGAAATTAAACCAGAGGGCCGTTCTTGCCTTTCTACCCTGCTCCTTTCTATTATATGTGCTAGATTGTATTTGTGTCCTGAGTCCCAGAGAAGCAAACTACTTGAGGACTGCTCTCATTGGGCTGGTCACCTACTGAAGCGAGCTGCCTTCAGTCAGGAGAAGTGGGGAGCTCTTGCCGTTTTTAAAATGATCTGCTAATATGATTTATTGCCCAACTTTCAAGCTGAATCAAGTGTAAAATAACTATTTTACACTATATGAAAAAAAAAAAATCCTACTGAGGCAAGCAAATCTGCACAGCTGCAAGAAGACTTTAATCCTCACTCATCTGTGGCAGTGGGACTGAATATGGCAATGAGGTGGGTTTTTTTCGTGCTTGGAGGGTACAGGAAGTTGCCCCTAAAGTGGCAAAAAGAATCAAACATAATGAATGCAGCAAGAGTGGGATGAAATAAGCACACACACAAAAGCCACAATCAGACCTCTTCAGTTCTTTGCCAAGGGATACACAATTTCTTTGTCCATAATCAGAAAATATGAGTAACTATTCCTAATCACAAAACTGTCGTTAGGAATATACACATCAGGCCTTCTTCCTCTTCCTGCTCACCTTATTATCCTTTAGAAAAAGTGCCAACATTTCTTCTCTCCCATAGCGATAGTCTGCTAGTTTGTACTTTGGCAAAGCCGGAGACAGAGGAGGGGATGTCACGCTCCCGCCACTAGACAAAGCTCGCAGCCTAAAATAAAGCAGAAAAGCAATGAAAACTGAATTGAAGAGAATGTGTCTTCACCTACACTATCATCCCTCTGCACATTTATTACAGATTGGACACAAATGAAATGATGATCTCCAGAAGTCCCTTCCAACGCCACATCATTCTGTGAAATAAATACAGTACTGAAAGTAAAGGAAAGGCATTAACAGTCTAACTTCAAAACTCTAAAACTTGGTGTTTCAACAAGAGTGAAAGAGCTTCCCTCATTTTTTACACAGAAAAAATAAATAAAAAAATTCCCCATGAGCACATCAAGCAATTCAGCTCATCCCCTGGAGGACTCTTTTATGTTGACTATATAGAAAGCTGGCTACACCCCTAAAGCCTTGACTATGCTATTTACACTGACTGCACAAAACTCAGTGTTAAGTCTTCCATATGTATTAATGACTACAGCTCTTTTTGACAAGAAAAATTCTTACTCCACTAGGGACAGTGCAGCAAGCATTAATCTAAGGAAAAAAAGTTTATTCAGATCTTTTGCAAAGTTTAACAAACAGAATAGGACAATAAATTTTGTGATGGGCTTTCTTCCTGTGTCTCTGGAATCCTACTCTACTCCAAATTCCTCTTCCAGAACTTAAAATTAATGGCATTCTTTAGAGAATATATACAAGATTTAACTTAGCATCTCAATAAAAAACAACGTACAAAATGTAGCCACACTTCAGGGACATTTCAAGTAGTAATCTAATTTATGATAACAGATAAATATACTATTAAGTTTGGTCCAATCCCACTTGGGTAAGCTACTCAACTTTTTGGAGATAACATCTTACAGTTGTATGATATTATTCCCACTCCACAGGTGTATTAGTCTCATTCTACACAATCACTTCCTCAGCTATCCAAATATCCTGTATTTTTAAGTTTGAGGAATGTTTTACAAAAGGGTGTGTGTCAAAACTCAGGCAATTTTCCTACAAGTTTGAGGAATGTTTTACAAAAGGGTGTGGGTCAAAAACCCAGACAATTTTCCTATATTTTCCTTGATGCGCATCTTAGACAAGTAAAACAATGAAAGCTCTTTTCAACAATTGGCAAAATGCTGGGAAAGGAAGGTGCTCAAAACTTAAACACTGATTCAGAGGCTACCTTTCACCTAATTATTGAAGCAGGCTGTATTGTTCTCTAAACAGAAAGGAAAAAGTAATTCTCAAGTCCAATGTTTATCTTATTTTTTTAGTTTGGTGCCACCCAGTGGCAGTTTCTGCACCCACCACTTCCAAACCAAAAATGCCTGGGGAGGTATTATTCAAAGGATTAGATGGCTCAGTGCAACGCTCAATCCAGATCAAACGGGACCGAGAATTTCACTGTTAAGTGATACAACAGCATACATGACAGACATGACTATACTGCAATCCAAAAGAATAATTAGAAATATTAGAATTTTATTCCTGTAAAAAATGTAGTAGTAGCTCACTGAAGTCTAATATATACTTTCATACATAATCTAACATGGTTTTTAAACTAAATGGAGACCGAAGTCCTCACACTATGACACAGCAATCAAGTTACTGTTAAAATATGTGCTTTTTTTAGAATTGCCTTCCCCCTTCTCTTTTTTTAATATAACTTTGGCTTCCATCCATCGATGAATCTAATCATGTCTGTCTCTTACACCAAAGAGCACTCCAGCATAAGATATCTGCCTGGTGGGTGTATTTATAGACAGTGATAAAGTCATTCTTCAACCTTCTTTCAGTCTAACAAAACAGACTGAGCTCTCTCATTGTTTTCCAGGCCACAAATCATGCCTTATTTCTTTGTTGAATACTCTCCAATTTTTGTACATTGTGTCTAAAAATGTGTCAGCAAAAGCAAATACGTTATTCCAGTAATAGTCTTACCACATGCTACGCCGCAATTATATTTCCTATAACCACTCCACACTCCCATTTACACACTTAAGGATCACATAACTCTTCAGAAACTATACCAGCCAGAATTCTCATTTGTAATCGCCGTCACCAACACTTTAAGAAGGAATTGGAAAAAAAATAACTGAACAATAATCACACCTGTGCAGCTACTCTTTAGCAAAAGCCGGGACAATACAAGCCAGACAAGCTAGAAAAAGTAACAGCTGACATAAGATTATACACGTCATGGGTTCCCTGTAACACAATATCTCATTTTCCTGACACTCTTCAGTGAATACATGGGAGACTATGACATGAAAAACACTCTTATACCATATTCCATATAGATTTTTACTTTTAATATGGGGGGGGAGAACTTGCTTAGCTATAGATTTACATCAAGAACTGTGTAAGAACTTCCTTATTAATACGTATCACAGGAAAGACCAAACAAGAAAGATGTCTTCTTCCCTTACTTCGTGTATACCTGAGGTCATAAACATTATTCCTCCCTCAGATACTCGGTAGCAACGTGAACATTATGCATTACCATGAAACCCAATCATTTCACACACAATACCAATTTACAAGGTGAAGATTAATTTAGAATATTGCTTTCAGTCACAGGCCAGTGACTGAGCTGAAGCAGTATGGAACAACAAAGACGTTATACCCCATTCAGTCCTATAATCCATTCAGTCCCAAAGGACAGAAATTCATAACGTTTCTTTTAAATTTTACACAAGGTTCCCGAGTCTCACGGAATAGACAAAACTCACCATTCAGGCCCAAAGTTAAGTGTCTGAGTTTCTGCTGCCATTTTTTTCCTGTTCTATTCCTCTTTTTTAAAAAGCGTGAACCTGAAAAACAAAAATGTTTACTATGAAAACAACTGAATTAATACAGTCTTTCATAAATTTCTTCACAATACAAAAGCACACTTGGTAATGCAAAGAAGTGAAAAAAATTGACTATGTGGAGTAATGCAAAGAAGTGAAAAAAATTGACTATATGGATTTATTTTTTTTTAATTAATTTACTCTTTTTTTTTAACTTCACTTACTAATATAGGGGTAGCTGCATCAATATCTCTTCCCTAAATTCCTCTTAAATGCTCAAGAAGGACACTGGATCAGGGTATCTGAAGAAATAATTTGTACAAACAGTCCCCTTTCACTCAGTGATTACCGCAAGACAACCAAACATGGAGAATTTGATGCATAATCCTCTTCTCTAAGAACATTAATGCTTAATTAACAGAATTGCAGCTTCCTGACAATTACAAGAGGATAAAAAACCCACTAGAATTACAGCAAGAAAGATTTGCCAGTTGAGTGGCAGAGTATTCAAGAAATTTCCACTGCTCATTGTTGAAAAAGAAGCCTTCTAAAGATCGAGTACATCCAATGCTGTGAGATCCTCCTAGATCTGCAGGCAGATAGAACATTTCTCTCATTCTTGGTTTTATTAAGCAAAAAGATGCACAACTTCAGACTTCAGCTACTTTCATTCCTATTAGACAAGGTCCTGAAGACACCAGTGAAGGTCAGGTCAAGTTCCTATATATCCTATGTACATATAAACAACAGGACATGAAGCCATACTGGAGGAAAAGAACAAGACTAAGGGAAGGCTATGAAGTTTCCTCCATCAAAGCAGAATCCAGCCCAGGCAGTTCTGGAAAAGTGATTAAGCAAAAAGATGCACAACTTCAGACTTCAGCTACTTTCATTCCTATTAGACAAGGTCCTGAAGACACCAGTGAAGGTCAGGTCAAGTTCCTATATATCCTATGTACATATAAACAACAGGAGATGAAGCCATACTTGAGGAAAAGAACAAGACTAAGGGAAGGCTATGAAGTTTTCTCCATCAGAGCCGAAACCAGCCCAAGCAGTTCTGGAGAAGTATCTTCTGCAGTAAGAAAATACAGCTCCTCTTTCCTACCAGCAATGGCAAAATCCAGATCTATAGAGGAAGCAGTTTTGGTTTTTCTATTAAAAAAAAAAATACTCAAACGCACTGTAGCCAAAGCTCAAACATAAAAGGATTTGAAGCATGATCTACAGATCTACAGAAACAGGTTGATTAGACTTCAAGAACCCATAAGCGGGTTCTAGATGGTAGGGAGGGGAGCTTTCCCTATCAGAACTCTGCTCCTTAATAGACCTAACGACTAAATAAGGAGCTTCCTAAGTTTCTCCATACTTTGCATGAAAAGGTGATGGAAAAGAAAAGCATACTGAGGAGACAGATGTGGAAAGGGCATTAGTTATTGAAGAAAAAGACAAAACCAAACAAAGAATTTTTTTTTCTCATATATATATACTACTGAAGTAATGATATTAAAGTAGAAAAAAAAAAGTCACCAGTCTGAAAGCTAGAAAATGCCAAAAAAAACCCCTACCACTAAAAGTGCTTGAGCAGATTTTACCCACAACTTCTGTGCATAAGATTACAAACAGTTGTAAAACTCCCTGCAGGCTAAATCTACCAACCACTGTTCGGCTCATGTGTTTTTACTACATATCACATTAACATTATCATTTCTATACAAATCATAATATTTTTATTTTCCCAATAACCCTATATAATGAAATGGGATTATCCCCGCTACATGCACCAGAAGCTAATGCAAGAACAATTCAAGCCAACCATTGTGCACGCTGTGGCAGAGACAAGCCTCCATCACAATTCCTAGTAACCTTAATTGGATGGCTGTCCCTTCTCTTCCTGCAACACCTGTAATCCTACTGCTGGGGGGGTGTGGAGGGGGAAGAGCTTTCAAATCAACCCATGTGGATCATCAGGGAACCCGGGATCTTTAGCTAACATCAAAGCTAAGTTAGTATGAGTAATACCTAAAAGGCTGGCACTGAATGTTACGCTGCAACGAAAGCACAGCTGAAAAGCTTTAGATACAAGGATAAAGCCCCAAAAACCAGCTAGGATTGAGTGGTTCACCAGTTTTGGATCCACCGGGCCCCACTCCTCCTCAGCTTCTGGGTCTCCTTCCCAAAAATTGAGGATACTGAGAATCTTTCTCTACTAGACTCCTAAGCACTTCAGTACTTACAAGCATACTCAAAAGCCTGCTAATCTCATCCCACTCAGTTGCAAAATGGCTTTCCTTGTTCCTCATTTTGGCCACTACGCTTTGTTTTGGGAACTCTTTGCTGGCTTCCTCTTCTGTGTTGCATCCAGATAAGTTACTTCCTCCCTAGAACTTCTGACTGACAATTTTGAATTGAAAGCGAGACACCTGTAAGTGGATGAAAGATGATTTGAGTAGGTGTAACAGGTGAATTTACTCTAATAGGCAACATTACCCAGAAATAAGACATACAGGAAAAAGAAATTACAGACAAAGCTGAGAGGAAGCCCTTGAAAAGGAGGCACTCTGGAAATTTTTGAGGAGGACGAGAGAGGAACAGGGGAAAAAAGAGACTCAAGAAAGCTAAGCCAGAAATGCACGAGAGGAATACTCTTAGCCGTGTCAGAGCAGACAAGATAAGGAATGCAAAAAACCTTGTGGTGCTTCTGCAGGTTCACAAAGCAGCAGCCAAAAGATGAGAGCACGGAAGGCAAACTGGAGAGGAACCTCTGACAGTGACTGCACAACACAGTCAGTGTGCAGAGAGGCAGCTGTACCAACTGGAAAGGCAAGTTGGGGTGGACTATGCGACGCTCACTCTGAGAGTCAGGGTGGAGCAAGGAAAAGGGTGAGGAATTAAGAAAAGGGAATGAGTGATCAGGTCATAAATTAAACTATTTTGTCCAAGGAAAAGGCATAAATTCATCAGATCTTCACTATCTAGATAGCTCTCCTAGGCTCTGAACATCAATATTAATTAAAATGTTAATTTTTGTGTTTTTTATCTATGGTGCCTCCTTATTAATCAAGGATAACAAATCACAAAAATAATACATACCTAACACATTTCTTCCTTGACATCATTTGATGAAGGAAAAGCTCCTTTCTGGACTGCTAGAGTTTTGTAAATCAAGATTTTCTACAAATTAATGGCTATTGATTGAGGAATCTGTACAAGCACAGATTTCATGTGGGCAAAAAGCAGACAGGGACAGCATCAAGTTGAAGCAAGAAGCCGAGGCCCTATTTTGGTAATGTCCAATTAGCACCACTGTTTGGGCAAGAATGCTACCTGAGGACTTCCCACCACACCCCCAAAGAGGAACCTTTTCTCCAAGATTTTCTTCAAATCAGGTCAATCCTTCATCAAGGTGCCAGCGCAACCCTAGAGACAGCTACAGTTTTCCTGCATATTAGGGGAAAAACTGAATTGCTTCCTAAACTGGACCTGAGACCCTATTTTCCTGGGATGGTTCCCCAGCCAAAAACCCTGTGTAAGTACTGAAAAGAGAAGAAATCACATCAACCCCATCACAAACGTGTGGATTGGCAAGGGAAAAAACATCCCCTCTATTTTGTCAGCAGCTTAGGACTTTGGAAGTCAGAAGTCCATCCTCTGAGCAGACACAAAATGTAATCCAATAACGTTAAGCCTTTAAGTGGCTTTCACTCACAATTAACAGGTAATATTATAGGTACAGAAGTTGCTATCAGCACCACACAACTCATTTAATTGGTTTGCTTTACATACAATGGTTGTTTTACCAGACTCCTGGTTTTTTAAGTTATTTTTCAAGCTCACTTTTTAGTAACTGACAATTCTATTAAAGCTCTCAAACATCTGCTTCAAACACAAGTCAGAACTTGATTCTACCAGCTAGATTTGTGTGTTAAAATGCATAAGATGATGTTTCAGTTGAAAAAAAAAAAATTTCTAAGGAAGGCCTATAATTACTGTAGCATATTTTGGCCACAAGCTGTGTTCTTTTAAAATGTATAGCTTACTAATAAATATCTAGGCAAAAAGCTGTTTTCCAGAGACTTTGGAGGAAATGAACTGTCATGTGTCCACAGTATCCAGACTGCTCAGCCTCAAGATTTACATGAAATTGCCATTTTAAGGTTTGTCCCTTACTCACAGGCACTTGAGTTAAGGTGTTTGGGCAACGCTAAATTCCTGTTTTCCATTACAGAATTCTGCCAACTTGTACCACGTGGCAATCTGTTTCACCAAGATGTTTTGCTGTTTTGGATAAACTGAATCTCAGCATCCCAAGTTGAGACTAAGCAATGTCTGAACTCAGGTCTGCCCATCTAATCTTTCCTACAGACAAAAAAAAATAAAATTAAAGATTTGGACTGTCACTGCAATTTATAGCTTTGGGGCTGCTGCTCGCTTAGGTTTTTTATTAACTTTGGAAACCTAAACCTTGGAAAAAAGATGTACCACTGATCCTTCCTCTACACAGCTACTTTATTTTGAAATGGTCTGTTTGATCAGAAATGTTCAGGAAGAAAAGTATCCTCTCATTTCAAGGTAGTTATGTTGCTACTGTAAGTTTGAAACAGCCTTTTTAACCTAGAAATTGGATGAAGACTTTGAGAACCAAAGAACATAACGGAAATCTAACATGAGCAGATTTAAAAGCAAGGAACTGGGTTCTCCTTAAATAAACTTGGAACAGGAATTCAACAGCAGTGCTCCACAATGCAACAGCAACATTACATCAAGATGATAAAACTTTACCTTCCACAAGCAAGAAAACATTCCACAGGCAGCTACCAGAGCTAGCTAACTTCAGTGCCAGTAACTGTGTTTCTCAAGAAATTAACAGGCTGACCAAATAATTAATGCTGGTTTTCCCTAATTCTTGAAATATTAAAGAAGATCCAAAACTGTATGCAAGCTACCTTTTAAGTACAGTGGTAAACAGGAATGACTCAGGTGGCTACACTATCAGTCTGTTTGATATTAATCATTGGCTA